ATAGGGAGCTCCACCCATGGCCCCAGTGGGGCCGCCCGCATGCGTCATCCACCACCCAGCGCAGCATTTCGTGGCTCCATAGGGAGCCCCACCGAGGGCTCCAGTGGGGCCGCCCGCGTGCGTCACCCGCCACCCAGTACAGCGCTTCGTGACCCCATGGAGGGCTCCACCGAAGGCCCCAGCGGGACCGCCCGCGTGCGTCATCCACCACCCAGCACAGCGCTTCGTGGCCCCATAGGGAGCTCCACCAAAGGCTCCAGTGGGACCTTCCGCATGCGTCATCCACCACCCAGTACAGCGCCGCGTGACCCCATAGGGAGCTCCACCGAAGGCCCCAGTGGGACCGCCCGCATGCGTCATCCACCACCCAGTACAGCGCTGCGTGACCCCATGGGGAGCTCCACCGAAGGCTCCAGTGGGACCGCCCGCATGCGTCATCCACCACCCAGTACAGCGCTGCGTGACCCCATAGGGAGCTCCACCGATGGCTCCAGTGGGACCGCCCGCATGCGTCATCCACCACCCAGCACAGCATTTCGTGACCCCATGGGGAGCTCCACCGAGGGCTCCAGTGGAACCGCCCGCATGCGTCATCCACCACCCATTACAGCGCTTCGTGGTCCCATTGGGAGCTCCACCGAAGGCCCCAGTGAGACCGCCCGCATGCGTCATCCACCACCCAGCACAGCATTTCGTGACCCCATATGGAGCTCCACCGAAGAGTCCAGTGGGACCGCCCGCATGCGTCACCCACCACCCAGTACAGCGTTTCGTGGCCCTATAAAGGCTCCACAGAAGGCCCCAGTGGGACCGCCCGCATGCGTCATCCACCACCCAGTACAGCGCTTCGTGGTCCCATGGGGGGCTCCACCGAGAGCCCCCCCAGTGGGACCGCTCGCATGCGTCATCCACCACCCAGTACAGCAGCGTTTCGTGTCCCCACAAGGAGCAAGGAGCTCCACCTAAGGTCTCCGTGGCGGAACTCGCATGGCGGCCCACTGGCGGAGTTCGCATGGCGGCGACTTTAGATTTTTACCTAACAGCTTTTGCTGATAGGTTTCTAGTGGATTCAAAAGAGAGCATCTGATGACTCCACAGGGGGTCTGGGCGGGTGCCGGGGAACAGAGCCGGGCTTGTTTTAAGCCAACAGTTAACACTTCGTGCTCCCAGAACTCCATTCCCGGACCACATTTTGAATAACCGGAGCCAACAGTCATACATTTCGTGCTCTTCGAGTTCCCAGAACTCTACTCCCGGGCCGCATTTTGGATGCCCGGAGCCAATTGTAGGCCACTTCGTGTTCTTCGAGTTCCCAGAACTCCATTCCCGGGCCACATTTTGGATACCCGGAGCCAACTGTAGGCCACTTCGTGCTCTTCGAGTTCCCAGAACTCCATTCCCGGGCCACATTTTGAATGCCCGGAGCCAACTGTAGGCCACTTCGTGCTCTTCGAGTTCCCAGAACTCCATTCCTGGGCATGATTTGGAATGCCCGGGCCAACTGTAGGGTGAGTTCCCAGAACTCCATTCCTGGGCCACATTTTGAATGCTGAGGCAGGCTGATGCTGCGGCCGAGGCAGGCTGAGGCTGAGGCAGGCTGAGGCTGAGGCCGAGGCTGAAGGCAGACTGAGGCTGAGGCTGAGCAGGCTGAGGCTGAGGCTGAGGCTGAGGCTGAGGCTGAGGCTGAGGCAGGCTGGCTGCTGAGGCAGGCTGAGGCTGAGGCTGGCTGATGCAGGCTGAGGCTGAGGCAGGCTGAGGCTGAGGCCGAGGCTGAAGGCAGACTGAGGCTGAGGCTGAAGCAGGCCGAGGCTGAGGCTGAGGCAGGCTGAGGCTGAGGCAGGCTGAGGCTGAGGCTGAGGCAGGCTGAGGCTGAGGCTGTGACTGCGACTGCCGTTGCCGCTGCGACTGTCATCGCGAATGCGACTACGACTGCGAGAACAACAGAATTCTACAACTGGATTCTCATTTGAATCTTAAGGGGAATGCTTCCAGATATGCTCCTACACATCGCTGTTAGGTTGCTTTGCCGGGATAATCGTTTTTTTCGTCGTATTCGAGGTATTGTGGCCGCTTTCGGGCCGCGCATCCTGGGCGGGAGCCAGCCTGCTCGCTCTCTCTGTTCCGCGCAGCGGACGACCCGCGCGCGTCGCCGGGACCCCTTCGCGGCGACCAGCGCGCGTCGCGGGGACTCCGTGCGGCGCCGCGCCCGCAGCCTTGGACGTAGGCGCGCACGGGCAAAGAGGGAGAAAAATTATCCTGGCGAAGGACCCAACCATATGCAATCGTGAATACTGCAATTGTGAATATCTTCTCGGTGGAGCCCCCTACGAGGCCTACGAGGGGTGTGCCGATATGGGCGTGCGGGACGCATGCGGGCACACCCACTAGGGCCTTCGGTGGAGCTCCCTATGCGGCCACGAAGCGTGTGAGGGAGTTGAGGAAATGGGTGTGGCTGACGCATGCGGGCGCGGGCACTGGGGCCTTCGGTGGAGCTCCACAT